TTGGCCAGAGTGCTCGTATTTAACAGAAAGATGTGGGCTAGTGGAGGGCAGGCCTTGTGAAGGAAGGCATCTCTACAAGTGATTTCAGAGTCGTGATATGAAGAATGAACAGGAATTGGTCAGGTATAGATTGTCCAGGCAGGTGGACTAGGCTTGCCTGGGACGCCCACTTCAGTTACCATCACTCGTCAGAAGAAAGGTCAGTGCAGGAATCCAAGAGTCTTGTCCTCATTGTCAGACAGGCAGTCCTGGTCATTCCCTGCAGGCACAGGCAGGGTGTAAAGACCAGTGAGACATCAGGTGTAACAGGCAGCCCAAGAGGTGCTGGTCTTTCCTGCCTCAGCCTCATAAGGACATCCAGGTGTCAGACAGAAGTCTTTTGACCGGGGTCTGTGCCTCAGCGTCAGGTTAACAAATTACCTCTACTATTCAGACACTTGTGCTCCAAAAGTCAAGATCACCTATAAATCCACTGAGAGTGAGAGAGAGAGTGAGTGAGAGAGTGTGTGTGTGTGTGTGTGTGTGTGTGTGTGTGTGTGTGTGTGTGTGTGTGTGTGTGTGTGTGTTATAGGAGGGAGGGAGAGATAAACTAACATAAAAGGATCAGGTAAAGCTGAAGTGCAGGAGACGACAGTGAACTAGTGAAGTCAGAACTCAGCCTGCAGACTCTGCAGAGGATAGGAGAACTGCTTCTGTCAGTCCTGAGGGGCGCTCCCTCAAGACTGGCTTGGAAGCCCAGTGCGGAACCTCAGCTAGAGGAGTATGCAGAGCTGTGTCTTATCAGAGAGAATTATTTCTAAATATATTGTCTTTTTCTTAACTGTAAAATAACTTATGTCCAATGCAGAAAACATGGGGAAAAAAACCAAATGAAATGGCAGTTGTGAGGGTCCAGACTTTACTGGCTGCTTAACATTGTTGTTATGAGGCCGAGTTTGTTTTGGAACATGGGTAATAAAACATGAACTGATAATTAGAATTTTAAATACATGTTTATCAAAGAGGAACTATGGGAAAGTTTTTAGTTCTTCCTTATCAACCAAACCAAGCTTAAACTCGCTGCCATCAAGTCGGTTCCAGCCCTCCACTGATCTGTCCTGTAAATCTTTACCCCAGCATAAGAATGAAAAATGGTGTCCTCAAGATTCCATGTCATGTTTTTCTTGAATTTAGTGTTAGTAATTTTTTTAAAAACACTAGGGGGAGCCTCATGCCCACTGTCCTCCTGTCACCCAGACTAATAAAAAAAAGCCCTGGGCAGGAGTGTTTGCTGCCCACAAGCTCCATTTATTTTCTCTTCTTTTACTATTGATCTGTTAAATTTATTTATAAATTTACTGTGCAAACAAACGTTTTACTTAGATGCTTTCTTTGTGAATCACTTTAGATGCACAATAAAATTTACCCTGGCCTTGGCCTTAAACCACAGAAGATTTAAGTTTAAAGATCGGTCAGCTCTCCAGCCTGTGGCCTCACCCCAAGTGTTTAATGGGTGTCTTTCTGTAGATGTAGCCAGGGCATAGTGTTAGCCTCCTGGCTCCCTCTCCTTGGGCGATGGCCAAACTCCAAGCTGCAATTAAGGCAAACTTACAAACACCCCAACCAGGGCAGGTGTTTGCAGCCAGGCAGCTTGCAAATGGAAAGGGAATAATAATCATGTGACAGGATTGGAGATGCAGATATCAGTACCCTGCAAATCTGGGCCTCATCTTTCCCTTGTTATACAGTAAGGAAGAGCTCCAGTGTTGTAGTGTCAGCCATTATTGAAAGGTTCAATTACACCAGTTCTTTCAAAAGAGAAAGATGGGCACTTTTCCCCCAGCAGGATGTACTGCCTTGAAAACTCAGTACAGGGTCACTGTGAGTCACAATCAACTCACAGGCCATGAATTTGAGGTTTGTTTTTTGTAGGGTTTTTTTGTTGTTTTGTTTGTTTGTTTTTAATTCATTAAGGAAGTTGGTTTGAGAGTCCTAGTCACCTCAAAGTGAAGGCTGAAATAATTGTGGATCAGTGTGATTCAGAGCCGCAGCATTGAGTGTGGATGAGCAGTGCTGGCTCTAGCATGGCTCTTTAGGTTGCACTTACTTGTTTTTCTCACATTTGTTAACTTAAAAACACAAAAGCAATTTGTCCATCAGTGTGGAAGAAGGAATCAAAAAAATTCTAAATACTGCATTTTTCAGGGGTGCCATAGGCTGGTGTTTGGGGTCAGACAGTAAATGGAATGGAGGGAGGGGGTGCCTTTACCGAAGCAGGAGAGTCAAGAGAACAAACCAAGGAGGAGATTGCCGAGAAGGAAAGGAAGTGAACTGATCATGTTAAAGCAGCAAGGTAAGGAGCTTTGAGATAGGACACTGCACAGAGTAAAAATGTACCATTGGTGACCCTAAGGATAGTTCTATGTAATCATAACAGTTAAGTGTCCAATTGGGAGAGAGTAAAAGAGAGGGGCCATGAAGCAGTGAAGATGAGAAGTGTCAACCTTGAGGTTTACAGTGGGTGGTAAGAAAAAGGTTGAGAGAAGGAGAACAGAGAATTGTTCCTCTTTAAAAACCTCACAGGAGCTAGGAAAGAGGACAGGTAGGTGAAAAAGAGAATAGCTAGTGAAGTGACTCCAGACTTAGTGTGGATGAGATCCAACTGCGGGTCCGAATTGAGTAATCTTGAGCAAGTCACATAACCTCTTTTTTTACCGTATTACCGTGCTTATAAAATGCCGTTGCTGCTGCTGCTGGTAGTGGTGTTGTAAGATCATGAATTTAAAGCACTTGGTGCTTTGTTGTTGTTAGGTACAGTTAAGTTGACTACAGCTGGTAATGACCCTGTGACCCGCAGATCTGCACCTTGCCCTGTCCTGCACTGCCCTTACCGTCTCTGATGCGCTTGAGCTCAGTCCCGGTCAGTCCATCTTGTTTGAGGCTTTGTCTCTCTTTCTCTGAACTTCGCCCTTTCCTAGGATAATGTCTTTTTCAGAGGACTGGGGCTCCTCCTGTCTGCATACCCAGAGAATGTGACACACAGTTCCTCTGAGGAGCACACTGGTTGCACTTCCTCCAAGACTCAGATTTTTGGGTATTTTTTTGTAATCCCTAGGATATTCCATGCTCTTCTCTAACACAATTCAAAGGAATCAGTGAGTCTTCTGTGATCCTTGGTCAATGCCCGACTTTGAAATGCATAGGAAGCAGTTGAAAATGCCATGGCTTGCATCAGGCGCACCTTGCTCTTTAAATTGGTAAATGCTCTTTAGCACAGCAGGCAAGTCCTTAACAGCAGCTTTTCCCAATTCAACATGCCTTTTGATTTCCATAGTGTTGTTACTATGGACATTGATTGTGGATCCAAGAAAAATGAAATCATTGAAAATCTCATTGTTTTCTCCATCTGTCATAATGTTTGTTGCCTATTAGTCAGTCCAGTGATGAGAATTTTTGTTTTTTTGATTTCGAGATAAAGTCCATACTGAAGGCCTAGTTCTTGTTGTTGTTAGGTGCTGTCAAGTCACACACAGCTCCTAGAGACCCTTAGGACAACAGATACGAGCCTTGCCCTCCTTGTGCCCTCCCCAGGATCTCTCCCCTTAGGCCCGTTGGATCAGGCACTGTGTCAGTCTGTCTTTTGGAGGGAATTCTTCTCTTTTACTGACCCTGTACCTTTGCCAACATGATCTCTCTCTCCACACACTTGTTCCTCCTGAAAATACGCCCTTAATAAGTGAGACACAGTTTACCATTCTTCCCTCTAGAAAGAGCACTCTGGTTATACTTCTTCAAGATAGATTTGTTTGTTCTTTTGACGGTCCATCAGATATTCAGTTCTTTTCACTCTCACCACGATTCAAAGGCATCAATTCTTCTATCATCTTTATTCATCCATATTCAACTTTTAAGATATATAGGAAGCAAATGAAAATTCAGTCTCGATTCAGATGCCTTTAGACATCTTTGCTTTTTAGCACTTCAGAGAATTCCTTGATAGTAAATTTCTCCAATGCAACAAATCTTTTGATCTCTACTGCAGCTACCAAGGGTGTTGATTGTTGATCAAGTAAGATAAAATTATTGACAACTTGAATCCTTTGTCCATCTATCGTCATGTTGCCTATTGGTCCAACAGTGAAGAATTTTGTTTTCTTGATATTAAGATGTAACTTGCATTGAACGCTATAGTCTTTGATCTTCTGCAGTTAATGCTTCAAGTCTTCTTCACTTTTTGCCACCCTAGGCTGTATCATCTACACAACACAGGTCGTTTATGAATCTTCCTCTGATCCTGATGCCATATCCTTCTTCATAAATTCCAGCTTCTTAATTTATTTGCTCAGCATACAAATGGAGAAAGAATGCAACCCTATTCACGCCTTTCCTGATTTCAGACCATGCAGTGTTCCCTTACTGTTTTCTGACCTCTGCTTCTTGGTCTTTGTATAGGTTTAGCATAAGAAAAAGTAAGTGCTCTGGGATTCCCATTCCTCTCAGTGTCAGCCACAATTTGTTATGATCCACACAGAATAGTTAGTGCTTTGGTTGTGGTGATTGTGTACCATAGAGTCAGAATCTACACATAGCTGACCCTCCAGTGGGTTTTCAGAGGCAGTTAATCGCACAGGAAGAGATTGCTCACCCTTCTCCCACGTAGTGGCTGGTGCCCTTGAAGAATGTGACTTTGGGATTACAGTGCAGCTTCTTGCCACTAGGCTACCAGAACTCCCTAGTAAGTGCTTTAATATGAGCTAAATGAAATGATGAGGCATTACTGCTGTAGACAAAGAGGACCTAGAACTCAGATGGGAGGAACCAGCATTCATTGTGAAACCAGTGTTTCCAGCAGAACCATGGCCATGTTATTAAGAATTTTGGGTCATCAACTCAAGCCTCACAAATTTCCCTCCAAAAGGAGGAAACACTGCTTTCAGAGTGACTAACTGAGAATGTCAGCAGTATCTGAATCACTACCACATTTTCATGCCTTTTAATATGTGCTTCGGTTTGTTCTACAGATTAGCCAGAAGAAGTTAAAAAAATACGAAAAGGAATATCACACCATGAGAGAACAGCAGGCCCAACAAGAAGACCCCATTGAGCGATTCGAGGTTCGTTTGATTATAACCTGGAGATGTGAGGCACTTTCTGTCTTTCGTCTAATGTAATTGTCCCCATAGCTCACTTTATTAAGCCTCTTTCAAAACTTAGTTCCACTCTTCAAGTTTCGGTTTGTGCTTAGAAATGGAAAAAACAAGATCAGTTATATTTTAAAGCAACTGCTTAGTTTTTACAGTTCAGTGGCCTTTCATCGTGGTTAATAAAGAGTTGCTTGGAGAAGTCACTTGATTCAGTTAAGTAGAAAATAAATGATTACTGACACTGAACTCCTCAGGTCCTGCCAATCGTCCTGTATTTCTATAGGATTCAGAAGTAAGATTTGGCATTTAGTTCTGCAGAAATGGGATTTCAGTCTGATCTCTTTATGTCTATAACTGGTTCCTTTCTGTCCTTCAGCGAGAGAATAGACGTCTACAAGAAGCTAACATGAGGTTGGAACAGGAAAATGATGATCTTGCCCATGAGCTCGTTACCAGCAAGATTGCACTGCGAAAGGACCTGGATAATGTAAGTTTAATCAGTCCAAAAGATCAGATTGAAATACTGATTTTTGTTCTAATCAAATGAACTTCTTACATTTTATTAATTGCTGTTCTAGTTACCTCCAGAGTATCTCACTTATGTTACAATTGTGTATGTCTTTATTCTTGGTAATGATAAAATCTAAAGTTCAGCTCTCCCTGCCACAGCTCTTTGCTGCATCCTGTGGCCTTCGACTCCTTTCCCAGCGATGTTTGATAGTATGCGGCTGTCATTAGCTGTCACAATTGACGGTAGCATTTTAATCATCATGACATTTTTAAACTTTCCTCTGAACAGAGACAAAGATTTTGCTCTCCTGCATAATGTATGCCTATTGGATAAGGCTTGGGAATTGGAGTACAGCTCAGTGTCTCGGCCACTTAGAATCCTGTTGTTATGTTATTTGTTTCTGTAAGCAAATGTTCCTTTTTTTTTCTTCTTTTCTTTTAAAAATTTTACATGTTTATAAAAGTAGTGATTTCATTGTCTGATCTTGACCTTCCTCTCAGCCCTTGGTTTAAATTCTTTGCCGGGTTACTTTGGTTCATTTGGTGGTGAGGTCCAGAGGGCCTGCTCATCATAACAGGTTTTTAAACAGTCATGAGGAGGGAATCCTATCATGTTGATTTCTGGCGTACAAGATTCTGCTGTTGTGTTTTATATTTTTTTTTAATACCTTGACTAACTGGATAGAAAGTTGTAAAAGTAAAGCCTTTAGCAGAGGATGGATTTTTTTTAAAAATCATACTGTCTTTCTGTTATCTGTATTGTATTTCTTAGAAGAAATGTAGTCTTTAATTTATAGTTTAGATCAATGATGTTGTAATAAAACTTTATTTACAAAGTGGATAGTGAGCCAGGATTTGGCCCATGGGCCTTAGCTTTGCAGCTTTCCTCCTAAGTTTCCTTTTCTGCTACTTGGTTTCCTGAGGTTCTCAGAAGAGTCTCTGGCTTTGTCAGGTATCAGGACATCCTGACATTTTGGTGCATTGATACACTTCGATCGGTGGAAGATCACTGCTCTCATTAGATTCTCCTAAGGGACTCACATGTCAGCTGGCTAGAGTGTGATATGGAACTATCTGTTTACCCCTGGTCTATAGAAATTGAATAATAGAAAATTTTAGACAGACCTTAGTTCTAATACCAGCTACTCTAATTTGAAGTTCACGTTGAACCCCCTGTAAATGATAAACAGAATAATAGCCATATCACAGGGTATTATAATGGTATAATAATAGCTGTGTCCCTGAGAATTATGATTGCTATGTATTAGAAGTAGTCTGGGTAGTGTAATCAGGCACAGGTAGTGTTCCATTCCCGTGTCCCTCCATCGGATGGCTCTTTGTAAATGGGAAAGCTCCGTTTCCCAGTATGTCCAGGGAACGTCTTTCAAGGTCATTAGCCCTTAATGACCTTAGCCTAGAGATCTTACTGACCTTAGGTTTACCAGTCTTCTCATGGGCTTTAAGTTTCCTCCCTGGGGTGTAAATTCCCTACATACCCACTGTTTCTCTTTGTAAAATCACTTTTTCTACACAGAAACATTATCTCACAGTTTAGGCATTTCTCCTAGTGAGGAGAGTGGGACGGGGGTACATTGAGTCAGCGCATAACAGTAAGGATGAAACCATATGGAATCAAAGAGAAGAAAAGTATTCCTAAAGAAAAGTCTCTGTGTTCTGTGATTAAACTACCAGGGGCAGCTTAGAATAAAATTCCTGGTAGAACTTTAGTTTGAGCTGTTACTTTTTAAAATCTCACAGTAATAATAATGATGATGTCCCCCTAGTTATTCTTGACATGCTTGTCAAAGAACTAGGTTACATTCTCAGAATCAGAGATGAGAAAAAATAAAAATAATAAAATGAATTCCGATTAACCAAGGATCTATTTGCCCGGCATTTTTAAAGCGCCAGTATCTCTTATTTTCTTTAGCCATTCAAAAAAAAAAAAGGTGGCATGAATGAAAATTCCTTAAACAAGTCAGGAAACTGAGGCTAGAAAGGTGAGTACACCTGGAAAAAGCAGAGGCAGACCCATCTGACTTCTCCAATTGCACACCGTCTTCATAGCCGTGTGGGGCAGGAAGCTATGAACTGCTGTTAGAACTCTGGAGAAGAGAACCAGTGACCCTGATACATACTAGCTGATGTGTCTTGAGTACTTAAAAAGTGCTAATCACTGTGTCATTTGCATATATTATTAAATCCTCAGCATAACTCCTTGTTTTATAAGGAATATAATTAAGATCCTCTATTTTGATAAGACAATAGAGGTAGAAACAGGAAAGCTATCTTACATAGTTATACTGTGTTATTGGCAGTTTAATGTCTTTGTCTGGTTTTGATATCAGGATAATGCCACCTCATAAAATGAACTGAGAAGTATTTCCTCCTATTCCCTTAAAGACTTAGTGTGGATTTGGTACCATTTTTTTTATTAGTTTTTTATTTACTTCATCAGTGATGCCATCTCCTGATATGAATGGTTTTTTGCACTAAGTTATTTAATTATTAATTCTTTCATAAATATGAGACTATTCAAACTTTCTAATTCTTCATGTATCTATTTATATAGTTCATGTCTTTCAACAATTTATCCATTTCATCTTAATCATCAAGTGAATCATCATGAAGTTGTTTATATTTCCTTAAACTTTTAATGTTTTTAAGATCTGTAGATAGGCCGTGCTTTCATTCCTGGAAGGGAATTTGTGGTGGAGTTTGTTTTTTCATTCCCCCCCCTTTTTTTTTTTACTTTGATCAATTTAGACAGAAGCATCTCACTTCATTAGTTTTTACTGTTGCTTATTTTCTGTTTTTTTCCCTTCTACTTACTTTGTGCTTACTTTCCTTTTCCTTTTCTAGCTTCTTAAGAAATAAGCTTGCAGAATTTATTTTTACACCTTTAGAAAAGGAGCCTTAGTGACACAGTGTAATTATGTATTGGGTGGCTCACTGAAAAGTTGGCAGTTCAAAACCAGCAGTGTCTCTGCAGAAGAAAGATAAGCCAGCGGTGGTGTCAAAGTTGATTTGAGGGCAGTGGGTCTCTAAAATAAGCATTTAAAGTTGTGAATCACCACTTCATCTGCAGCTTGTAAATTGTGCTTTGTTGAGCTTTTCCTTTTAATTCACACCTAATTGCTGTTGAGTTGGAACCAGCTCCTGCCTGACTGTCCGTCAGGTTTGCAAGGCTGTAAATCGTACAGGGGACTGCCTGTCAGCAGCTGGGAGATTCAAACAGCGAGAGACACACTCACTCAGCTCTCAGGGGTAAACAGACTAGAGTGCCAGAACCTCCTTTTTGGGAGTTCAGAAGTAGGATGTTTCATTTCCAAATACAAGTCATTTTTCCCAGAAATTATCTTGTTGTGAATTCCATTCCATTATGAACAGAGCATGTATCCTTTCAGATTTTAAACCTCTTAAAATACATTGATCCTTATCTTATGGCCTACTGCACGGTCTGTTTGGGCAAACATCACATGTAGTTGTTGTTCAGTACCGTTGAGTTGGCACCGACCCATAGCTGACCTTCCAGCGTTGCCCTTTCTTCTCCAGCAAAGCCCCTGCTGGATTTGGACTGCTTGCCTTTGGGTTGGAGCACAACTCCTCCCTCAGCAGGCCACTAGAGTCCCAGAGGCACTTGAGGACATTATCTCAGTCACAGAAGGACAAATACTGCCTAACACGGCTGTTATAAAATGAGACTGGAATGGGGGCTTGGTGGGAGAATGGAGAAAGAGTGGATAGATAATGAACACTGCCTTAGAACAGATGAGGGAAGAGCTGTCTGAAAGGAATATAAGATTAGGTATTACATGTATGACAATAACCTGGAGTAAGAGGGGCATTGAAAAGTGGACTGGGAGAGGAGAAAAGGAGAGGGCAGGAAGAAAATGTGCAACACTGAATGAATAAAAATGTTAAAAAAGAAAGTCTTTTTTTGTGGGAAGAGTGATAAATGTCAGCTAGGTCAAGTTGGTTGATGGTGGTATTCAGTTATTCAGTGGCTCATGGAGTCCCTGCCTCGGCACCGACTGACCCACGTGGGCCTCACCTGCTTTTACTGTGCACTTACCTAGTCTTCTTTTCAGTTACGTCAGTCTTCCATGTATTTTTCTGTGTACATTCGTACATTTCAGATTATTAAGCCTTCTTAATGGAGTGACTTGCTTCTTTGTTCCTGATAATAGTCCCTGTGCAGAAATACTTTGAAAGAGTTCTTGGTGGCTTAAGATGTACAGAGTCAGTCTGCTAACCAAAAGGTCTATGGTTCAACTCCATGAGCTGCTTCAGTAGAGAAAGATGGGTGGGAATACACTTCCTCAGGTATTAATGACAAGACTTGGGCTTCCTTAACATTATTGATTGCATAGTATATTATCTCATCTCTTACTGTTAGCATTACTGTGGCTTTATAGTTAAAAATGAGGTTTTGTAGCCAGTTTTTTTAACTGAGTCTGACAGTCTCTGCCTTTTAACTAGATTCCCCCCCCCCAACTGTATATTTAATGATTTGTGGTTGGATTTAAGCCTGCCACCTTGATGTTTTGTTATTTTTGGTATTTGTTCCCTTTTTCCTGTCTCTCTGCTACCTTTGGTTTCATTGGGTGTTTGCCTGTTTCTTTTTCTCCTCTTTATTGACCTGTGTGCTTCTTTGGACCTCACTCTTCTCCACAGTTCTGCCCTGCCGCTTCCAGCCCCCGTAGCCTTTCTGATCTCTAAGCTCTGCTTCCTTAACCCTTGGAGATCTCAGTGCTCTGCTTGCAGCCTCTCCTGTCTTCCTAGTTCCTTGATTCACAAAGTCAGAGTGGCAGTAGGCCCTACTTCTTTTTCTCTGGAAACCAGTCCTATAGTTCCTGTTTTCAGAGTTTGAAAATAATAGTTTCATATATTTTGTTCCATTTTCTGGTTACTGTAGGAGGAAAGTCTAGTCCCTGTTACTGATCTGGATTTCTCTTCTGTCCAGATGTTCCCCATGTACTTATGTAAACAGAGTGACTGTGGAGCGAGTGTGGTGCATTTGGAGGACACTGTTTCGGTCAATCCAGTAGCTTTTGGGGAGCTTGCCATTGGCCAGCATAGAGTGTCGGCGCTTGGACTTGATGCACAAATGCTGGGCTCAGTATAAGCCCTATTTTCAGATGCCAGCCCTGCTTCATGCTTTGTGAGAGTGGCAAGAAATTACTTCCTTTCCTAGAAAGGACAGAAAATACACTTGATATCATTTGGGGAGGCAGGATGGGTAAGGAAAATTGGAATCATGGCAAAAGCATAGACTCTTAAATGAGAAAGCCCTGTGCATGACCTGATTCCTTCACGCATCTGGTCATCAGTGTTCCATAACCTCTGTCCATCGTGGGGGGAGGTCAGAGGAGAAAGCAGAGCATGTGGCACATTTTCCAAAGCTGCGCTCCAATGGTGGTAACTGAGTCCAAGGGAGGAAAAGAGATCGTTGTGTTTCTGCTGTCAGGTGCCATTAGGGACAGCTCACAGAGACGCTGTGAACATCAGAGCCGAACCCCGCCCCGTCCTGTGCCCTCCTCACCGTCTGACACACGTGAGCCCATTGCTGCAATCACTGCGTCATTCCACCTGGTTTAGGGCCACCTCTTTCACTATCCCCCCCCCCCCCCCCCCCCCCAGGATGAGGTCTCTTTTGAAGGACTAGCCTCTCCGAACAACATGCCCAAGCCTCACCGTCCTTGCCTCCAAGGAGCAGTCTGGCTGCACTTTTTTCAGGACATGTCTGTTCTTTTGGCAGTCCATGGGATATGCAGGGCCTTCGCCAACACCACAGCCCAAAGCCTATTCAATTCCATGTAGTTGTGGTTTTCCGGTAATTGATGGCCTTGTGACTCTGCATATCATTGAGTCTGAGGTGCTCGGACTCCCCACTGGAGGCCCGGCCCTCTGGCTTTGTGAGGACGTTTGGAGCTATGGGAAGCATGGTTGCTCGCTCATCTGCGGCACTTTCACTTCATGACATCAGAAATGCTGTTTACTTTCAGGGAAGCCACCATCTATCACAAGGGAAGGTTGTGTAAAAGACTTGCATAGACCCCTGTGTAATGTTCTTTACCCAAGAGTCTCTGGTCCACTTCCTTGACTACCCTATGTGGTGGGAGTGGTGGTGTGTACCTCAAGTCAGAACTAACCCATAGCTGACTCTCCGGAGGGTCTTCAGAGGCAGTGTATCGCACAGGAGGAGACTGCCCATCTTTCTCCCGCAGAGCAGCTGGAGGGTTCAAAGCATGTAATTTTGCATTAGCAGTGCAGTTCTTACCACTAAGCCACCAGAGCATGGTACTAATTACTCACTTATCCTTGGAATATCTGGTGTTGGGAATCCTTTCGGCAAGTGTAGAAATGCCATTAACCCCTGGAAACCCACAGCATCAGATTTTTCTGTGCTTTTTCTAGCAAAAGACTGAGGTATAGTATGACCATTTCAAACAGCAAAGAGAAAATGCTAGGAAAGAGCATCCTCCCTTATCAGATAGAAATAATGAAATATAACACTCGGGTGCTAAAACAGAGGAAATGCTGGGAGTTGAGAAGAAAACCAGCTTATTCTATAAATAGTAATGGCAGCTATGTTTTATTGCTTGTTTACTTCAGGTATTATGTACAAGTGTGCTTTCCATGTCTTACTTCTCAGAAAAAGAGCCTGAGGGTCATAGAGGGCTCAGTGACTTGCCCCTCTGTGTGGGGCCAAAGCCTGAACGCCAAAGCACGGCCTTGGAGCACATCTGTCCATGTTATCTAGTCTGTCTGGATTTGGCCTTTCTCTATAATTTCGGGCACATCATTTTCCTTTTCTGATCACAGTTTCCATTATCTTAAAATGGAATTGTGCTGGGTAATTGAAACATTTTGTGATTCTCAGTTCTTGTTTGTGACAGCATTTGTTAACTGTGTTTTCAGGCTGAGGAAAAGGCAGATGCACTCAATAAGGAGCTGCTTATGACCAAACAGAAATTGATTGATGCAGAAGAAGAAAAAAGACGGCTGGAAGAAGAATCTGCTCAGGTGAAGGGACTTTGTCTCCCTCTCTCACATTCCTCTGTCTTTCATGTGCTTGAGAGTTGGGAGTTCAACTGGTAGCTTCCTGTTGGCACTGGACAACCCAGACACAGCTGGCTGGCTTAAGTATCCTTCCAGAAGCCTTGTTTACTGTGTAACTCGTATTCTTAATCATTAAAGTTTCAGTCTTCACTAGAGCAGGTGAGAGTCCTATGTAAAAGCATCTAAGTAACAAAGAGGGTTAGCATTTCTGGAAAGGAAACAGGCATCATAGAGTGTATGCTTGGCTCTACCATCTACTTGTCCCCTGATGTTTATCCCACAAGCTGACTCTGCAAGTCTTATCTGAGCCAGCTCTCCACAGCTCTGAGGGCACAGTCCTTCGAGTGCTTTACAGCCTGGAGTGAGCCCATCTCCCCACCCCTGGCCCCAGCTCTCCTTCATGCTAACCCCCTCCCCCTCCTCGTCTGTTGGAGCTGCCTGAGGTGAGGTACTCAGAGAATTATAGTCCTTTTTCATAGATTAAGTTGTTCTGACAAGGAGGCATTTCCTTTGAAGTCTTAGTTTTTGTTGAGATTCAGTAGTTTGAGAATTTTTCACTGTTCTCTCCTTTGCTTGGCAGTAAGTGCTCCCAGCAGTCAAGGGAGAAAGTAAATAAATTAGGGCCCTTTGAGAGTTAGGTCAGGCACTTTCTGAGAACCACAACATTTAGCAGAAAGTTTCAGAGCCTCCTCTAGTTTTCCCTGAAAACCTTCACTTTGCTTTTTCATGTGTGCAGTTAAAAGAAATGTGCCGTCGGGAACTTGACAAAGCGGAATCTGAAATTAAAAAAAACAGTTCAATCATTGGTGACTATAAGCAGGTGAGTCCTGTTTGCCCTGGGATCGAGCCACACATTAAAAGCCCTGATTTCAAACCCAAAGCCCTCCAAACCTGAAGGCTTAAGATAGACCCCCGGGTTCCAGATCTTGGCTTCACCATTGGCATTGACAAATTATGTCACTTCTCTGATTTTCAACTGTAAAATAAGAGAAAGCATCCCAAGCTGACAGAACCATTGGGAAGATTCTGTCAGATGGTGTTTAGAGGGTCGGCCACATGCATTCCTTGGTAGCTGTTGTCAAGTCAGCGCTGACTGCACCTTTTGTACAACACAAGGACCGTCCTTACCATCGGAGCAGGTCCTGTGTGAAAGGCTCCCTGATGGTGTGGTGGGTGCACACTTAGCTGCTGAAAGGTTGTTGGTTCAGATTCACCAGGTGCTTCATAGAAGAAGGGTGTGCAGTCTCTTCCCATAAAGATTTAGTCTCAAAGCCAGTGAAGGAGTGCTATCACTTGGATTTAACATGACAGCAATAGGTTGAATATTAAATGAAAGCAGCAGTTCATTCTTGGGAGCCCTTCACTGTCCACTCAATCACTCATGGTGACACATGGTCTGGGACATTCTAGTTTTCCACCAGACTGGCTGGGTTATAACGTTAGTCGTCCTTGTTCCTTCCTACATGTGGATTTCATAGTTCATGAGGTTGGCAGCATTCATAAACCACTGGCCATTGAGTGGAGGCACAGAAAGCTTCCTGCCGGAGATAGACCCATAGATGTTGGGGCGGCACAGCTGCATGAACCGCTGCTTATCCCACAGTTTTTTGGTTTTGTTTTTTTTTTAATTTAAGAAAATTTTATTGATAGGTGCTATGGGAGACACAATGACGACTCAGACACAGATCCCGCCCATAAGGAGCTTATCATCCATCAGTCTTAACCCACTTTCTGACATTTGCAGCCCATTTTGTATTAATTTCACGTAACATAACTCCAGCTCCCACTACAGTGTATCCTGAGCATGTTCTGCAGATGATCATGCTGCTCAAGAGATTGTTGTTTTCCATTTAGATTTGCTCTCAGTTGAGTGAAAGACTGGAGAAGCAGCAGACAGCTAATAAAGTGGAAATTGAGAAAATTCGGGTAAGTCTTTCACTTTGTGATCATAGACTTGACACCTCCTAGTTTATCTGGAGGAGAGGACAGGGTTAAAGATCATCAGGTCACTATGAGTTATACTCGACTCGACGGCACCAAACAGCAGCAGTTTATTTGGGGCTCTTTTGAGCACAACAGGTTTTGAGAAGGAGCTGTTTTACCTGGATTTGAAAGTGAAAGGCCCCACCAAATACTTGATAAGAAGCCTGCCACAGGCCTCGCTCAGTTATTGAGTTATAATGCTATGCTTGTTTTATCCCAGAAGGAAATACAAAAGAGGCCGAGAAAAGTCTAGATCTCAACGTACATGTGTCACAGAACTCCTCCAGGATTTCCAGTCATCAGGGTGGTAGATAATAGTGGATGGATGCAGCGAGGCTAACAAGTCCTGGAAGTGAAATGAGGGATGAGATGGGTTATGGAGGACAGGACCATGTGTTAAGGTTTGTTGCTGAATACACTCCGCCAGCTCATTCCTTCTGCTCTAATGGATCCAAATTCAGTGTGAAGGACTGTGGACAACATTTTCCTGCTTGGTTTTTAGTTTGGTCTTTTGTTTTTTTCATGTAAATGAGTCTTAGTGTTGAATTGTTAGTTTGACAGATTGTAATTTTGTGAGGTTTTTTTCCCTGTATTTGAGTGTATCGGATTTTAACTAAAATGAGTAATTGACTAAAAGATACTTCAAGGACATACATAAGACCCATTTTCATGGCTATGTTTGCACTAACATCATTTGTCTGGGGTGGGTGTCAGTGGACCTAGAATACTTCTCTAGGTCTTCTTCTTACTGTGGTTTAACCACAAGTGCCTATTCTTCTAAATTAGATTTCTTTCTAAAACTAAGAAGAAGAAATAATTGTAACCCAGTTACGCAGAGATTCGATTACCATTTATATTTTGATGTAGAGTTTCTCAGTCTTTGTTCTGTGTTAACTTTTAACATGAAAGATCTCATTTGTTCTAAGATAAGCATTTTTTTTTTTCACTTGAAATTAAGATATGTATTTTTGGGGAGCTCTGGTGGCCTAGTGGCAAGAAGCTGCACTGCAATCCCAGAGGAACACGGTTCGAATCCACCAGACGCTCTGCCGGAGAAGGAGGTGCAATATCCTCCTGTACCAGTCAGATCTGATTTGACGGTACACGCACACAAAATTTAAAAAAAAATTTAAAAAAAAAGATATGCATTTTTAATTGAAAGCTTTTTGTAACTTTAATAGCAGGACTTTTTCCTTCTAGAACCTAAAATCGTGACATTTCATACAGACATCGGCATCTTTTGATGACATGTGGTATATAGATTTTATGTTCTGGTTTTTTTCACTCAATATGTTACCACTTTTCCAGGTTATTAAAAATTCTTTACAAAGCTTTTTAAGGCTGCATACATAATGCACGGTGTACTGAGTGGTTTCCTGTTAGTTTATTCCCTTTTTGTAAGTTTCCTGAGTCAGGATCTAAGATGATGTTCCTGTTTGGGGCATACAGTTCCAGGTTCCCAGTAGGTTATCTCCCAGCTTCTCCAGACAGCAGGTAGTTTTCAAGAAGCTGTAGCATGAGAAGTGGCCCTTGCTTGGCCCTGCAGAAAGGAGGCGCTCTTACCATCCTTTAGGGGTCAGTTTGTCTTTACATCTTTTTCCTTGACATTTCCAGCAAAAAGTGGATGACTGTGAGCGCTGCCGGGAGTTTTTCAACAAAGAAGGACGAGTGAAGGGCATCAGTTCAGCTAAGGAGCTTCTGGATGAAGATACAGATGAAGAGAAGGAGACTCTCAAGAACCAGTTGAGAGAGATGGAACTAGAACTGGCTCAGACCAAGCTCCAGTTGGTGGAAGCTGAGTGCAAGATACAGGTAACAGCCATGAGCTTTGGAGCCTATCCCCCTGATGTGTGAAGTGCCCTCTCTATTGGTGAGATGTGTGGAACCCAGAAACCATGTTTACAGTTTGGGGCTGGTTGGCTGGTTTTAGAGTTGGACCATAATCCTTACAGAAAGAACCCTTATTACTTACTAAGTATGTTTAGTCAGTATTTGGCCTGTCCTAAGGACTGAATGTTTTCATAATGATCCTTAGCCGTAGAATTTAGAAACGGGTGTGGTGATCAGAAGAGCATATGCTTTGGCTGTACCACCAATTTCTCCGACCTTGGGGTCAGTCGAGTAGCCTAATAGCACAGATGCCCATGAGGAAAATGCCTACCTGGTAGGATTGTTATGAAATAAGACGGCATATCACAGCACACAGTGAGGGCTTCATATATGGGAGCTTGGACTCCCCAACTGCCATCACTTAGCTATCTTGGGCTTTATTCTGCAGTGCTAGTTCCACTAGCATGACTGCTTAGCATAGGCCAGGCACTGAGCACCATCGAAAGAACAGAGGCGGGTCAAAAGTATAGGCTCTGTGGTCTCCTTAATGCACATTCACTAGGCATCTGCTCTTTGCCAGGCCCTGTTGTAGGTGCTGAGACTGCAAAGCTCAGATGTAGCTTTGTGCAGCTGACCAGATCAGTCAGGAAAGGCTTCAAAGCATCAGTATCCGAGCTGTGAGCAGAGAATGAGCAGGTGGTGTCAGATGCAGAAGACAGAGAACATTTTAGGTGGAGAGAGTGGCATGATCAGTAGCAGAGGGCTGGAAGGGTCTGCTTAGTAGGGAACCTCAGCTTCTTAAAAGCTGCTCCCGTGTAGTAGGGTGGAGGTGGACTTGAAGGCTGGAGGAAGGAGAGTCTAGATTGTTAAGCATCGTGGATGCTGTGCTAAGAGTTGAGGCTGTAATTTGTACAGGGTATTGATGCCACAGAGCTTAGCCTCATCTGCCTGGTGTACATGGTGATCATGGACAGGGGAGGGAGATGCTAAGCTAGCAGGCTGTTTTAAGAAACAGACTAGGCAAGAACCAAGGCCCTAACTAGGAAAGGTCATGTGTAGGCGTTGCAGATCTTCCTCTCTCTGCCCGTTTGAGATAGGCGGAATTTCTAGAGGCCTCTCGGGTGACTAGACTGGATTCTTTTTTTGGCTTGGCTATGGGGAGGAACCATCATTGTCATGGGGCCCAACATCCTCCTGTGCATTGTTTCCCTTGCAGGACTTGGAACACCATTTAGGCCTTGCCCTCAATGAGGTACAGGCTGCCAAGAAGACGTGGTTCAACCGAACACTGAGCTCCATAAAGACTGCAGCAACCGGGGTTCAGGGGAAAGAGACTTGCTGAGAGCAGCTTCTGTTTCGACAACCTTCAGAAAACATGACACCTTTTGTTGCCTTCTTTGGCCAGATGTGTGATTCTGTGACATGTCCCAGGACCAGAATGTACCTAAGTCAGAACAATAGAAGCATGCTGGTAGGTCATTGGACCAGAGCTCATGAAGCAGGCGACTTCTGGGGTAGGGCTCTCCTAACTACTGATACTAACAGGCCTGCTAGCTCAGATGATGCTCCAAACACACTAGGAAACACTCCCTGGTGTGACCTCCTGGGCAGTTTCTCAGTGTAGGTCACCACTTTAACCAACTCAGAAGCTGAGTTTACATGATTAGAGTTTGGAGAACTTTCGGTCTGTTATTTCTAAACCTTTAATTTTTTTTAAATCTATCTATATATATATAGCTCTATAGGGGAGGGGTATTATGGGATCAGTAACTCACATAATTCGTATCTGCTTCAGTGCCAGCAGAGAGCCCTCCTGCATCCCCCCCGGTAGACATGGAAAAGCACTTTGTTTTAAATAGGAAGGTTTCATGGTTGTAGCTGAAGCCACCTACTTTTGTTCAATTGTATAATGCACAGGTTTTGGTTTGGCATTATTCACATGTTTCTGATCAATTCTATGCAACTCTTCTCCTATTTTTTAGCATTAGCTGCCAAAATCACTTCACAGTGCTGGTTGGGTGACTTAACTGTGAGACTGGATTAATCAGAACATGGACAAATCTTATTTTACTTAATGTCTCATGTATATGTGTATATAGAATATTCTTTCCCCAGTTCATCCAACTGACAGTGTTTAAATCCCAGACTAGGACTGCTGATCTGCACAACTTAATTATGTGGTTATTTGGGCACTTAATTCCACTCACGGTTTGCGGGGCTCTGCTCTCCTCCCACCTTTGTGGGAACTGAGGCAAGCTCCTTCACTTCAGAGTTCCTAGTGTTTTTGCACAACACATCGTAAAAATGAGAAAGACGCTGAGCTGTGCGTGTTTGTGTTAGTGTGAGTGCTGTGCAGGCCGCACCTGCCGCAGGGTCACGTCCTCCTGCCTTGGCCTCCTTGGAGGGTGGCCGAGTGTGATCCCACTATTCAGATGGGCTGCAAGTTCTCACTTCAGAGCTAAGAAATGGAGATTTTAGCACCTTTTTTTTTTTTTAAAAAAAAAATCCACCACAGAGACTTTGACATTTAATTTATATAATGATATTCTTTCTGTCTTAAACTGTCTCGTAGATGATCTTTCCTTTGTGTGAAATGGAAGGAGCAGGTTACAGAAGGTGCTGGTTTGTACATAAAGACGCTTAGGTGGTTCTGTACCTTGTTTCTCGTTGGCTTACTGAGATCATCTGTGATAAGGGAGGTAACAAGTGGCAACGCCCTCCCCCCAAAACTAACCCTTACCCAACTTCTGTCTTTCTTGTTCAATTACCAAAACAGCTGTACACCCGTCTAATATTAGGTGCGTGGACCTCGTGTTAGGGTAGTTTCAGTGTGTCAACTTTATGAATTGAAATATAAACCAGTAAAATTGTATTACGGTTTGTTTTGTTGGTTTTATTTTAACAAGCATATTCATTAAATATTTTGGTACAAACATCATTGTTTTGTAAAAGCCAGTTTTATCATAGGCTCCAAACCCATCTTTCCCTTCTTCCCACCATAAAAGCAGACTCCTGTGAGACTACCAACTCTCTGTGCTGTCAGACAATTGTGTGACCCTCAGATCTTGATGGCACAGCTAACAGACACCAGGCGTGTGGAACGAGAGAAGACATGGGCCATGGCTTTTAGGCAACTGATACCTATGCTAGTAGTTATGGGCATTGCCCCTCTCTTGGAAATATTTGGTGGCCTTGTGGGTAAGAAATAGTGTGCTACCAACCCAAAGACAGGCAGTTGAAATCCACCCATTGCTCTGAGGGTGAAAAGGCAGCCAGTCTCCTCCCATGTGATTTATAGCTTCTAAAAACCCACTGGAGGGACACCTATGACAGATGACTCAGCAGTAATGAGTGAGTTGGATATATTTTGGTACGTATCTGTACAAAATTCAGGGGATGGAGTGTGTCATCGGAATGAGACTCTGTATTAGAGGGTCTAGGCACTTCTTACAGGAGGTAAGAGTTTAGCCGTGAAAGAAAAGTATTTCACCAGGTAGCTCTGAAGATGGTAAGTTCTAGGCCCACAATGTTGAGTGTGCAGGGGAAATGACTGAAGAGCAAAAAGACCATCAGGAGTTCCTGGGGCAGTTAAGAGGTCAGAGTTTGGCTGTGAAAGAAAAGCATTTTATTTTTTCATGAGTTGTTTTCCTTCTGTCCACCGCACCAAAGCTGGTAAATGCCTGGCAAAGCATGTGGTCCATACATGACAGGTACTGGGGCACAGGCTAGGCCAGGGGCCCCAGGCCATAGTCCTTTGCCATTCTAATGCCAAGGACTGGGAGACGATTTTTCCACAATTCTGGTCAACCCCTTCTCAGAGTATGAGGAGCAGAGTTAAGACGTTTGCTCCAGGTGTACTCATGCCCCAGAAGCTCAGGATTGTGTGGGCTACTTGGCCTATAAAGTCCTGAACTGATATTTGTGCTGGATCATTTGTGGCAAGGAACTACTGTCCTTAGTCATTGAGGGAAAAATCACTGCATCACTGTCGTCCACCTAGATGTCAGTTTACCATTCCAAACCAGTTGCCATAACCAAAACATCTCCAGATGTTGTCAGATGTTCCCCTGGGGGCTAAAGGGAGGTCTTGGGACTGACTCAGAGGAAGAGCGAAGACATGCAGAGCAGAGAACTGGATGCCCAGCGATGAGAACAAGTGAGGACAGGCTTAGAAAAGCTCCCAGGCACCGGCAGTGGAAGCCTGCTGGAGACCCTGGCAAGAAAAGCTCAGAGGTTGGTGGACACAGTGAAGAACCCAGATCACAACAAGCAAGGAGTGGGGGAGTGAGACAGTGGAGATAGCGAGTATGGCTTTTAGAGAGCTAGGAGTGGTGAGGGAACTGATTAGGAGAAGAGCTGAGCAGGCATCTTGTTAAGAAGCCAGGTTTTGGTCCATTCCTTCCCTAATGGCGCACAAAGCATTGTTCACAAGTCAGTGGAAACGTGACAGGCCGTGTGGTCGGTCTGGCGGGCCTGCCACCACCTGAGCTCATCCTGAGAACCATGTCCTTCAGTTTCACAGTGAAGGAGACTCAGATCTAAGAAGACTGCTGCCTCTCTTTCCACTCTGAACACCAAAGGCCTTTGGCAGAGGTTGTGTAAAAGTGGCGCAAACTCACTGCTGACGAATCAGTTCCAAGTCATAGTCACCCTCCATGGAATTCCTGGGGCTTTAAATTTCACCAGAGGAAAGTGACCATTTTTCTCCCGCAGAGCCCCTGGTGGATCCAAAGCACCTGAGACACAGCTTTTGGGTTAGCAGTGCGACCTGCTACAGACCACACCACCAAGTTCCCAGATACAAGTGAAGGAGGCAACAGCCACAGGATGCAAGAAGCCCAGATCCTTCCCCCACCCCCCCAGCTCCAGGACTGGCTCCACAGCTAAAAGCCAGAACCACACTGGCAACCCTACCAGCCCAGAAAAACAGGTTCACCTTCTTTCAGACAAATTCTCATTTGTCCTGTTGCTGCCCACAGGATTATAGTGCCTCATTTGTTCAAGATAAATGTTTTGTTTCTTAAATGCAAATCCTCTTCAAAGATCCATTTGTGGGTGAAGAAGCAAGATGTGAAGACTAGGCCCAGACAGAATCCCTGCAGTGTGTACCTCTCAGGCCACAAAGAATACCAAATCCTCTATGCTTCCCCTACTCTATTCAGAGTGAATACTGGTCCAGAGCAGATGGGACAATGCTAATCCACACCAGACTCCAAGAACCAGCAGAGATCTTTAAGGTAATTGTGGGCTGGATAGATATTGTCCCACCACTTAATTATAAGCAGCACAAATGAGACTTGGCCCAAGTCTGTGGATTCAAGGCACTTCACTTTGGACAGTCTGGTAAAGCTGAGTTTATCTAGGTAATGGGTCGAGTCCCTCAGACTGTTAGCTCTTAACTCTTCTCATGCATTCTTCCAGGTGCCTCAAAGTTCTAGAAGTGGTATTATTCCCCGACTTGAAAATAAAGGTGAAAAGCTTGTTCATTTCTTACCACATACCACCTCCTTGGCTTCCAAGGGCACAAACAAACAATGCTGCTCATCTAGCCTTACAAACAGCTTCCTGTGGGCTGAGCCCAGTACCTGTGGAAAAAGAGCACCTGGCTTCTGCTCAAGCCAAGAAGGGCAAACGCATGCAAGTGGTAAGAAGGGCATGTGGGAACAGACTGTGGTACACCTCGCCAGGCCAGCTCGTCTCTGCTCAGGTCAGGGAGGTGTTCTGGTGGGCAGGAAGGTAGTAGCACCCAAGTTCTAAAGGGAGGAAGGCCCGTCCAGATCCAGTGCCTCTGTCCACATTGTTCTCTCCTCTTACCTGAAGGGCAGCAGGAGCAAGCTTAGGCCTGGATCCTTCAAAGGGTACCTCCCTGGACCACCAGTGGGGCCAGGCTTTGCTGAGTCTTAATTCCTTATCTGTGTCATGTTAGGTGCCACAGAGTTGCCTCTGATTATAGCAACCCTCTGTGACAGAGCAAAACACTGTCCAATTCAGTGCCATCCTGGTACTGCCAGTATGCTTGAGCCCACTGTTAACAGCTCCTGGAAGAGGTGTGAGCTCTGGAATGAGGAGTATGAAAAGCACCTGATAAAATTCCAGCACTTCCTCGACATCCTTCACTTACCACTCACTGTGCAAGGCTTCTTGGGGTTAAACACTATCAGCTGAGAATCAGAAGTTTGAAGGGCTAAGTGAGATTCATCTATAGTTAAGATCTCAACTACAGATGGGAATGTGGGTTAGGCCCTGGCCCTCATCCATGGCACACCGGCAAGATCTGGACAGTGCACTGAACTGGAGTGTCAAGGGCAAGGAGAGGGCCCACTCATTACTCATTCATCACAG